AAGGTCAGAGATGTAGCACACACAAGGTCAGAGATGTAGCACACACAAGGTCAGAGATGTAGCAAACACAAGGTCAGAGATGTAGCACACACAAGGTCAGAGATGTAACACACACAAGGTCAGAGATTTAGCACACACAAGGTCAGAGATGTAGAACACACAAGGTCAGAGATGTAGCACACACAAGGTGAGAGATGTAGCACACACAAGGTGACAGAGATGTAGCACACACAAGGTCAGAGAGATGTAGCACACACAAGGTGAGAGATGTAGCACACACAAGGTCGGAGATGTAACACACACAAGGTCAGAGATATAGCACACACAAGGTCGGAGATGTAGCACACACAAGGTCAGAGAGATGTAGCACACACAAGGTCAGAGATGTAGCACACACAAGGTCAGAGATGTAACACACACAAGGTCAGAGATATAGCACACACAAGGTCAGAGATGTAGCACACACAAGGTCAGAGATGTAGAACACACAAGGTGACAGAGATGTAGCACGCACAAGGTGACAGAGATGTAGCACACACAAGGTGAGAGAGATGTAGCACACACAAGGTGACAGAGATGTAGCACACACAAGGTGACAGAGATGTAGCACACACAAGGTCAGAGATGTAGCACACACAAGGTGAGAGATGTAGCACACACAACGTGAGAGAGATGTAGCACACCCAAGGTGAGAGAGATGTAGCCACACAAGGTCAGAGATGTAGCACACACAAGGTGACAGAGATGTAGCACACACAAGGTGAGAGAGATGTAGCACGCACAAGGTGACAGAGATGTAGCACACCCAAGGTGAGAGAGATGTAGCACACACAAGGTCAGAGATGTAGCACACACAAGGTGACAGAGATGTAGCACACACAAGGTGAGAGATGTAGCACACACAAGGTGACAGAGATGTAGCACACACAAGGTGACAGAGATGTAGCACACACAAGGTGACAGAGATGTAGCACACACAAGGTGACAGAGATGTAGCACACACAAGGTGACAGAGATGTAGCACACACAAGGTGACAGAGATGTAGCACACACAAGGTCAGAGATGTAGCACGCACAAGGTGACAGAGATGTAGCACACACAAGGTCAGAGAGATGTAGCACACACAAGGTGACAGAGATGTAGCACACACAAGGTGACAGAGATGTAGCACACACAAGGTGACAGAGATGTAGCACACACAAGGTGACAGAGATGTAGCACACACAAGGTGACAGAGATGTAGCACACACAAGGTGACAGAGATGTAGCACACACAAGGTCAGAGAGATGTAGCACACACAAGGTCAGAGATGTAGCACACACAATGTGACAGAGATGTAGCACACACAAGGTGACAGAGATGTAGCACACACAAGGTCAGAAATGTAGCACACACAAGGTGACAGAGATGTAGCACACACAAGGTGACAGAGATGTAGCACACACAAGGTCAGAGATGTAGCACACACAAGGTGAGAGAGATGTAGCACACACAAGGTGACAGAGATGTAGCACACACAAGGTGACAGAGATGTAGCACACACAAGGTGACAGAGATGTAGCACACACAAGGTGAGAGAGATGTAGCACACACAAGGTCAGAGAGATGTAGCACACACAAGGTCAGAGATGTAGCACACACAAGGTGACAGAGATGTAGCACACACAAGGTCAGAGATGTAGCACACACAAGGTCAGAGATGTAACACACACAAGGTGACAGAGATGTAGCACACACAAGGTCATAGATGTAGCACACACAAGGTCAGAGAGATGTAGCACACACAAGGTCAGAGATGTAGCACACACAAGGTGACAGAGATGTAGCACACACAAGGTGACAGAGATGTAGCACACACAAGGTGACAGAGATGTAGCACACACAAGGTGACAGAGATGTAGCACACACAAGGTCAGAGATGTAGCACACACAAGGTGACAGAGATGTAGCACACACAAGGTGAGAGAGATGTAGCACACACAATGGCAGAGATTTAGCACACACAAGGTGACAGAGATGTAGCACACACAAGGTGAGAGAGATGTAGCACACACAAGGTCAGAGATGTAGCACACACAATGGCAGAGATGTAGCACACACAAGGTCAGAGATGTAGCACACACAAGGTGAGAGAGATGTAGCACACACAAGGTGAGAGAGATGTAGCACACACAAGGTGACAGAGATGTAGCACACACAAGGTCAGATATGTAGCACACACAAGGTGACAGAGATGTAGCACACACAAGGTGACAGATGTAGCACACACAAGGTCAGAGATGTAGCACACACAAGGTCAGAGATGTAGCACACACAAGGTGATAGAGATGTAGCACACACAAGGTGACAGAGATGTAGCACACACAAGGTGACAGAGATGTAGCACACACAAGGTCAGAGATGTAGCACACACAAGGTCAGAGATGTAGCACACACAAGGTGACAGAGATGTAGCACACACAAGGTGACAGAGATGTAGCACACACAAGGTGACAGAGATGTAGCACACACAAGGTGACAGAGATGTAGCACACACAAGGTCAGAGATGTAGCACACACAAGGTCAGAGATGTAGCACACACAAGGTGATAGAGATGTAGCACACAAAAGGTGAGAGAGATGTAGCACACACAAGGTGACAGAGATGTAGCACACACAAGGTGACAGAGATGTAGCACACACAAGGTGACAGAGATGTAGCACACACAAGGTCAGAGATGTAGCACACACAAGGTCAGAGATGTAGCACACACAAGGTCAGAGATGTAGCACACGCAAGGTCAGAGATGTAGCACACACAAGGTCAGAGATGTAGCACACACAAGGTCAGAGATGTAGCACACACAAGGTCAGAGATGTAGCACACACAAGGTGACAGAGATGTAGCACACACAAGGTGACAGAGATGTAGCACACACAAGGTCAGAGAGATGTAGCACACACAAGGTCAGAGATGTAGCACACACAAGGTCAGAGATGTAGCACACACAAGGTCAGAGATGTAGCACACACAAGGTCAGAGATGTAGAACACACAAGGTGACAGAGATGTAGCACACACAAGGTGAGAGAGATGTAGCACACACAAGGTGACAGAGATGTAGCACACCCAAGGTCAGAGATGTAGCACACACAAGGTCAGAGATGTAGCACACACAAGGTCAGAGATGTAGCACACACAAGGTGAGAGATGTAGCACACACAACGTGAGAGAGATGTAGCACACACAAGGTCAGAGATGTAGCACACACAAGGTCAGAGATGTAGCACACACAAGGTGACAGAGATGTAGCACACACAAGGTGACAGAGATGTAGCACACACAAGGTCAGAGATGTAACACACACAAGGTCAGAGATGTAGCACACACAAGGTGACAGAGATGTAGCACACACAAGGTCAGAGATGTAGCACACACAAGGTGACAGAGATGTAGCACACACAAGGTCAGAGATGTAGCACACACAAGGTCAGAGATGTAGGACACACAAGGTGACAGAGATGTAGCACACACAAGGCGAGAGAGATGTAGCACACACAAGGTGAGAGAGATGTAGCACACACAAGGTGACAGAGATGTAGCACACACAAGGTCAGAGATGTAGCACACACAAGGTCAGAGATGTAACACACACAAGGTCAGAGATGTAGCACACACAAGTTGAGAGATGTAGCACACACGTGACAGAGATGTAGCACACACAAGGTCAGAGATGTAGAACACACAAGGTCAGAGAGATGTAGCACACACAAGGTGAGAGAGATGTAGCACACACAAGCGGAAGATTACACCGTAAGTACGTAAGAGATGCGAAGCACAGCAGATTCCTTTCCTGAGCAGATACAACGCTTGTGCATTCTGTGCGTTTTCAGCAGCATTGGGCATTGTTACGCATTCTCATAACCTACGGCACTCGTACAGCAACAAGGTTGATCATTGTAGTTTTACACAAATGTATATTTGGATTCATATATAGTCCGTGGCCGTGCTTCACAAAACCGTAGCCCCTGGGGTTGTGCGCGTTAAAGCAAGGATACAGTGACGGACGTGACGTGAAACCTGATTCCAAGTTCACACTTTAAAAACATAACGCGTTTCGTTGGTGGCTGGGAGGACCGTCACGCCGCACCGCCACCCCCGCACAGACTCCGATCGGCGCTCTCGTGGAGAGGAGAGGGCGACGGGGGTGGGGGGCGACTCGGAGGTGCCAGGAGGAGGAGGGACCACAGACGAGGAGCAGGAAGGCAGCAGCAGCAGCAGCCAGCTGACGAGGAGCCGGCGCTAACGACTATTGCCCCCCAAGCTTTGCGGTCCTCTGTGTATGAAGGTGGTATCATCGGCCAATTAATAGACGTGGGAGGAAACCGGAGCTTCCGGAGAAAACCCACGCTGTGTGAGCGGGACCAGCACTCTATCCCCGTACAGATGGAAACAGATGGAAATTACTCCACACGTTTCTGTACCGCTTTCTCCTAGCGAGACAGAATTGGGCACCTCCTCGACTGCCGACAGGAAGGGAGTTCCACAACATCTGTTCGTGCGGTGGTCCACCAACCCTCGCTGATGCTGCCTCTACGGCGTTGTATCGCAGGCCACGCCACGTGCAGCAGCGTCGCCACCACCACCACCACCACCAGTGCCGCCACCACCACCAGTGCCACCACCACCACCAGTGCCACCACCACCAGTGCCACCACCACCACCAGTGCCACGACCACCACCAGTGCCACCACCACCACCAGTGCCACCACCACCACCAGTGCCACCACCACCACCAGTGCCACCACCACCACCAGTGCCACCACCAGTGCCACCACCACCACCAGTGCCACCACCACCACCAGTGCCGCCACCACCACCAGTGCCGCCACCACCACCAGTGCCGCCACCACCACCAGTGCCACCACCACCAACAGTGCCACCACCACCACCAGTGCCACCACCACCAACAGTGCCGCCACCACCACCAGTGCCGCCACCACCACCAGTGCCGCCACCACCACCAGTGCCACCACCACCACCAGTGCCACCACCACCACCACCAGTGCCGCCACCACCACCAGTGCCACCACCACCACCAGTGCCACCACCACCACCACCAACAGTGCCGCCACCCACCCAGCGAGATTTATGATTGGGATTCGGATCCCGGTTCTACCGCTCTCCAGAGGCGGCCGTGCACCAAGCGGGAAGGATTCTTCGAGCCGCTTGGTTGCGTGGGCGCGGAACGTCGGACGTCGCGCCGAACGAACGACAACAACGCGACAGCACCCCGGCAACGCAGCGGGGAGTCTCGGGCGGGAAAGGAACGGCATCGTCGGTGAGCAACGCAGGGAAACCTCGTTGCACTGTACTATACTGTACGCCTGCCTATCCTCTCGCGAGTCTCTGATTGGCAGCTTCACACTGAGCCGCGTGGTGGAGTACGCTCAAAATCATCCTCACTTGTGACCAGAGCCGGCCAACTGGTACGGCGAACTGGGGCGGTCACCCGAAGGGTGGCGGCTGCGGTGGCAGTGGTGGCGGTGGCTGTGGTAGCGGTGGTGGCAGTGATGGTGGTAGCGGTGGTGGTGGCGGTGGTAGCCGTGGTGGCGGTGGTGCCAGCGGAGAGGGCGGTTGACATTTTTGTTTATATCTCGGCAAAAAAAACATATAACGTGACGCACCAGGGGTCAGGCGAACGTTCGGACGCCCGCGCAGTAACCGAGCCGGGGAGATGAACCGGGGGGGGGGGGGGGGGGGGGGGGGGGTTGGGGGGGGGGGACACTGCGGTCGACTCCACCGCGGCGTCCACCCTTGAGTCCGGGCCATGACCTCCCACTGGGTGTCCACCGGGCTGCCGGGCAGACCGGAGCGGCGAGGGTGGGCGGTGCATGCCAGCCGCAGCCCGTAGAGTATACTTGACGTGGTGTGCCGCCCTGGTCGAGATGGAGCCGTGGACCGCGCCGTCCTCGCGTGTTCCGGCCGATCGCGATCGCTGGGCCCCCCTCTTCCTGCACCCTCCCCACGACTCCACCGCCCGCCCCCCACTGGGGGGCATCACCAGTAGAAGGACCTCGAGAAGAAGCTGACAGCGGTGCTGAGCCAGCCCCCCCCGGCCCCGTGGGGCGCCCCCGAGCGCGACACGGCCTCGCGGGGGGTCGCCTCCCCTTCCTCGTCCTCGTCTTCGGGGAGGTAGTCGGGAAAACCCGGAGCGGAGCCGCCGGCGCCGCCTCCGCCCGGACCGGAGCTCAGCGGCGCGAGCATCTGGAATGCGTAAAAAACGGGCAGCAGCGAAACAGCTCAGCAGCCCCCACAGCAGCCGTCATGCAGATGCAGTGTTTATAATGACGAATACACTTACTATGAGGCACTCTGTTTATTGTATTACTTCTCTTGACACAGTCCTTAACACACAGAGGGGTGTACGGTCCCCTCACCCGATACCCTGAGGAGGTACAGCCTCCGGACTTAGCGTGACCTACACACAGGTCTCTTGATACCTAAGGAGGTACTTAGCGTGACCTACACACAGATCTCTTGATACCTGAGGAGGTACTTAGCGTGACCTACACACAGGTCTCTTGATACCTGAGGAGGTACTTAGCGTGACCTACACACATGTCTCTTGATACCTAAGGAGGTACTTAGCGTGACCTACACACAGGTCAACTTGATACCTAAGGAGGTACTTAGTGTGACCTACATACAGGTCTCTTGATACCTAAGGAGGTACTTAGCGTGACCTACACACAGGTCTCTTGATACCTAAGGAGGTACTTAGCGTGACCTACACACAGGTCTCTTGATACCTGAGGAGGTACTTAGCGTGACCTACACACAGGTCTCTTGATACCTAAGGAGGTACTTAGCGTGACCTACACACAGGTCAACTTGATACCTAAGGAGGTACTTAGTGTGACCTACATACAGGTCTCTTGATACCTAAGGAGGTACTTAGCGTGACCTACACACAGGTCTCTTGATACCTGAGGAGGTACTTAGCGTGACCTACACACAGGTCTCTTGATACCTGAGGAGGTACTTAGCGTGACCTACACACAGGTCTCTTGATACCTGAGGAGGTACTTAGCGTGACCTACACACAGGTCTCTTGATACCTGAGGAGGTACTTAGTGTGACCTACACACAGGTCTCTTGATACCTAAGGAGGTACAGCCTCCTGTCTTGGCGAGACTTACACGTCTACTGCTATCCTAGAGTCCTCCGGCTGGGACCTAGGGGAGGCTGTCTGACCCACCACTGGCCCGGCGGGTCTTGACCACTGGATGCGCCGAGCCTTAGCCCTCAGAAGGGCTGGAAGGCTGGTCCAGGGTCCTGGCTATCTTCAGCCCAGGCTTCGGTCTACGTGTAGGGAGAGAACTCCCCAGGCTCTGCGCGCTCACCCTTCTTATACCCGTTTGTGGCCAGGTGTAACCAATCCCACATTCCCACGTGGAACTCTCTGATTGGTTCTTACCAAACTGTGGCTACGGTCCACTTCACCTCGTCTGACCCCAACCGTTATTCACACAGAGGTAACGCTGCACTGCCCCTTTGATACCTGGTGGCAATGCAGGTTACCGAACAGTGAGTAGTTAACACCTCTACACAGAGTTGGATCCCACCTCTCCACAACAACGTCTCCTGCGTTGCTATGGCGATTGCAGCGTGTGCGTGTGTGTATACGTGTGCGTGTGTGTGTACGTGTGTGTGTACGTGTGCGTGTGTGTACGTGTGCGTGTGTACGTGTGTGTGTACGTGTGCGTGTGTGTGTGTGTACGTGTGTGTGTGTACGTGTGCGTGTGTGTGTGTGTACGTGTGTGTGTGTACGTGTGCGTGTGTGTGTGCGTGTGTGTGTACGCGGGGTTTTAAGTCTTGGGAGGGGGTGGGGTGGGGAGAGGAGGGGAGGAGGGCGACTGATGAGCGGACCGATTGAAGTTCAAAGCGAGTGGTGAGGATGTTTGGTGAGGATGTTTGGTGAGGATGTTTGGTGAGGATGTTTGGTGAGGATGTTTGGTGAGGATGTTTGGTGAGGATGTTTGGTGAGGATGTTTGGTGAGGATGTTTGGTGAGGATGTTTGGTGAGGATGTTTGGTGAGGATGGTGAGTGTGACCTCACCTCCTCCCCCGCTTCGTTCTTCACCACCTGCTGTGCCGCCATGAGCTGAGTGGTGGCGATCGCAGTGGCGAGACACTGGGGGGGGGGGCACGGGGGAGGGCACGGGGGGGGCAACGGGGGGGCACGGGGGAGGGGCACGTGGGGGGCACGGGGGAGGGGCACGTGGGGGCACGGGGGAGGGTCACGTGGGGGACACGGGGGAGGGGCATGGTGGAGGCACGTGGGGGGGAGGGGGCACACAGAGGGTACGGGGCATGTGGGAGTCAAGAGGAGGGGGCACAGGTTTCGTTATTAACGGAATGATGAGATAAGACATTTCGGGGGGGGGCTGTGTATGGCTGTGTTGCTGGTGGTACGGTGAGGGAGGGTAGATAGGGAGGGAGGGAAGGGATGGAGGGAGGGTGGGGAGCGATGCAGCAGGGAGAGGGGGGGCCGGGGGGGTTGACCCTGACCTCGGGTTTGAGGTCGGCGCGCATGCGCACGATGCACCTCTGTGCGTGCATCTGGAAGGTGAAGCTGATGACGCCCCGCACGGTGAGGAGTGCCTCCTCGCAGCGCGCCCGGCGCTCCTTGGGGTTGGGGGGGGGGGGGCAGGGAAGGGAGGGGGGGCGTCACGACCCGGCGTGAGTCTTCGCGACCGTGCGAGCCGGGCTACGGGCGACTCGCGTGGCCGCGTCGACGACAGGAGGCAAAGTAAAAATAACCAAACGGCAATCGGCGCAAAAACAACTGTGGTGGGGGGGGGGGGGCGGCAGAGGGTAGCAGTAGCTGTGGGGCGGGGGGGGGGCGAGGGCGTTCTGGGGGGTCCTCACGACGTCGGTGAGTCCCTCGATGTGCAGCGTCACCGTCTTGGCACGCTTGTTGGTGCTGCCCAGGAAGGGCCGAGCTCGGCGGCGCCTCGCGGACCCCGGCGCGGCCTCGCCGAGCCCCACCGCCCCTTCGGGGGGGGGGCCCTCTCCGCCGCCCCCCAACGCGGCTGAAGGGGGGGCCGGGCTCGTGGGGGGGGGCTCCTCCTCGGTCCCGTTCCAGCGACTCAGCAGGTCGTAGACCTCGGTGGCGAGCGAGCGAGTCTCCCGTGGGAAGTCGGTTCTGTGTTGGGGGGGTTTATGGTCGACCATCTCACGCCACCTCCCCCGCGTCGTCGTCCTCACCCCCAGTCACCCTCGGGTGGATTCCCTCGCCCCGCTCACTCCCCGCTTAACCCGTGGCGGTCTTCACGCAGCACCTACCATTAGCGCGATTGGCTACGTACGGTGCAAAAGAAGTTCAACATTGATACCCTACACACTAGAACGCGTTGTCGTTATAGCGCGGTTTTTTCCATTGGGGAACACTTTTCGCACAACGCGGAACGTGAACCCTGTTACAAGGTGGGACGTGAACCCTGTTACAACGTGGAACGTGAACCCTGTTACAAGGTGGAACGTAAAACCTGTTACACGTGAACCCTGTTACAAGGTGGAACGTGAACCCTGTTACAAGGTCGAACGTGAACCCTGTTACAACGTGGGACGTGAACCCTGTTACAAGGTGGAACGTAAAACCTGTTACAACGTGGGACGTGAACCCTGTTACAAGGTGGAACGTGAACCCTGTTACAACGTGGGACGTGAACCCTGTTACAACGTGGGACGTGAACCCTGTTACAAGGTGGGACGTGAACCCTGTTACACGTGAACCCTGTTACACCGTGGAACGTGAACCCTGTTACAACGTGGAACGTGAACCCTGTTACAAGGTGGAACGTGAACCCTGTTACAAGGTGGAACGTGAACCCTGTTACAAGGTGGATCGTGAACCCTGTTACAACGTGGATGTGAACCCTGTTACAACGTGGAACGTGAACCCTGTTACAACGTGGACGTGAACCCTGTTACAACGTGGATGTGAACCCTGTTACAACGTGGAACGTGAACCCTGTTACAACGTGGGATGTGAACCCTGTTACAACGTGGATGTGAACCCTGTTACAACGTGGAACGTGAACCCTGTTACAACGTGGGATGTGAGCCCTGTTACAACGTGGATGTGAACCCTGTTACAAGGTGGAACGCAAGGAGGGAGGAGGCTGGAAAAGCGGGATTGACCCGTTGTGTCTTTGAGGATTTCCCGGTTAAATTTGGCGCGATCGCTACGTGGGCTGACCCCCAGAAATCCACGGGGTGAAGGGGGGTCATAGGGTGAGGGGTCACGATCACAGGCTGAGGAGTGAGGGGTTATAGGATGGGAGGTGAGGGTACGGGGGTGAGGGGACGAGGGTACGAGGGTGAGGGGGTGACAGGGTGAGGGGGTGAGGGGGTGACAGGGTGAGGGGACGAGGGTGAGGGGGTGAGGGGGTGACAAGGTGAGGGGGTGAGGGGGTGACAGGGTGACGGGGTGAGGGGGTGACAAGGTGAGGGGGTGACAGGGTGAGGGGGTGAGGGGGTGAGGGGGTGAGGGGGGTGACAGGGTGAGGGGGTGAGGGGGTGAGGGGGTGACAGGGTGAGGGGGTGACAGGGTGAGGGGGTGACAGGGTGAGGGGACGAGGGTGAGGGGGTGACAGGGTGAGGGGGTGACAGGGTGAGGGGGTGAGGGGGTGAGGGGGTGAGGGGGTGACAGGGTGAGGGGGGTGACAGGGTGAGGGGGTGACAGGGTGAGGGGACGAGGGTGAGGGGGTGACAGGGTGAGGGGGTGACAGGGTGAGGGGGTGAGGAGGTGAGGGGGTGAGGGGGGTGACAGGGTGACGGGGTGAGGGGGTGACAGGGTGACGGGGTGAGGGGGTGACAGGGTGAGGGGGGTGAGGGGGTGAGGGGGTGACAGAGTGATGGGGTGAGGGGGTGAGGGTGTGACAGGGTGAGGGTGTGACAGGGTGAGGGGGGTGACAGGGTGAGGGGGTGACAGGGTGAGGGTGTGACAGGGTGACGGGGTGAGGGGGTGACAGGGTGACGGGGTGACGGGGTGACGGGGTGAGGTGACAGGGTGACAGGGTGAGGGGGTGAGGGGGTGAGGGGGTGAGGGGGTGAGGGGGTGAGGGGGTGAGAGGGTGAGGGGGTGACAGGGTGAGTGGGTGACAGGGTGAGGGGACGAGGGTGAGGGGGTGACAGGGTGAGGGGGTGACAGGGTGAGGGGGTGAGGAGGTGAGGGGGTGAGGGGGTGACAGGGTGAGGGGGTGAGGGGGTGAGGGGGTGACAGGGTGACGGGGTGAGGGGGTGACAGGGTGAGGGGGTGAGGGGGTGAGGGGGTGACAGAGTGACGGGGTGAGGGGGTGAGGGTGTGACAGGGTGAGGGTGTGACAGGGTGAGGGGGTGACAGGGTGAGGGGGTGACAGGGTGACGGGGTGAGGGGGTGACAGGGTGACGGGGTGACGGGGTGACGGGGTGAGGTGACAGGGTGACAGGGTGAGGGGGTGAGGGGGTGAGGGGGTGACAGGGTGACGGGGTGAGGTGACAGGGTGACGGGGTGAGCGGGTGACAGGGTGAGGGGGTGACGGGGTGAGGTGACAGGGTGACAGGGTGAGCGGGTGACAGGGTGAGGGGGTGACAGGGTGAGGGGGTGAGGGGGTGAGGGTGTGACAGGGTGACGGGGTGAGGGGGTGACAGGGTGAGGGGGTGACAGGGTGAGGGGGTGAGGGTGTGACAGGGTGAGGGGGTGACAGGGTGAGGGGGTGACAGGGTGAGGGGGGTGACAGGGTGACAGGGTGAGGGGGTGACAGGGTGACAGGGTGACGGGGTGAGGGGTGACAGGGTGACGGGGTGAAGGTGTGAGAGGGTGACGGGGTGAGGTGACAGGGTGAGGGGGTGACAGGGTGGGGGTGTGACAGGGTGAGGAGGTGAGGGCACCTGTCAGTGATGTTCTGCAGGCTGACCATGAGGCCGAGCTCGCTCTTCATGCGGCCGCGGCTGTCCACACACTCGGCCAGGTAGCGCAGCGCCTGCGCACCGCGCGACCACCACGAACACTCGAGCCACTACGGTGCTGTGGTGGGGGTGGTGGTGGACGTGGTGGTGGTGGTGGTGGTTACAGCGGTAGTGGTTATGGTTAGTGGTGGTGGTGGACGTGGTGATGGTGGTGGTGGTGGTTGTAGCGGTAGTGGTTATGGTTAGTGGTGGTGGTGGACGTGGTGGTGGTGGTTGCAGCGGTAGTGGTTATGGTTAGTGGTGGTGGGTATGCTGACAATCACGGTGGTGGTGGTGGTTTTAGTTGTGCCGGTGGCTGTGTTGCCGGAGGAGGACGTAGTGGTGGTGGAGGACGCGGTGGTGGTGGACGTGGTGGTGGTGGAGGAGTACGCGTTGGTGGTGGAGGTGGACGTGGTGGTGGAGTACGCAGTGGTGGTGGTGGACGTGGTGGAGGACGCGATGATGGAGGACGCGTTGGTGGTGGAGGTGGACGTGGTGGTGGTGGACGCGGTGGTGGTGGATGTGATGGTGGACACCTGCAGCGCGGTGGTCACCACCTCCGGCCCGGGGTGGTCGAGCAGCATCACGAGGCCCGGCAGGCAGCCGCCGCCGCCGTGCGGCTCGCGCGCCACGGCCGCGCAGAGCCGCGGGTCGCGCGCGAGCTCGCGGAGCCGCGCGGCCACCTCGCAGGGGTCCGGGCTGTCCGCCATCGTCCACCCGCCGGCTCCTCCTCACCCGCTCCTCCTCACCCGCTCCTCCTCACCCGCTCGCCCTCACCCGCTCCTCCTCACCCGCTCCTCCTCACCCGCTCCTCGTCACCCGCTCGCGTAGCAGGGTTCGTTGGTTTGTCGCGCTAACCGCTGCGCCACCGCTCCCCCCCATCGCATGGACACACGGATACACAACAAACGCATCACCACCAATGCGGTACCGGCTAAACGTATTCGCACTGCGTGTGTAACAGCGAATTACCGTACAAAGACAAAGATCCCCTGTGTAGGCTCTTGCACTGGTGGGGCAAGTGCTGTTTAGCGAGCTCCTATGAAGGTGCTCGCATGTATGTTGAACTTCTTTCGCACCGTACGTAGCCGACGCTGCCGTGTGACTAGCACCACCGTTGTCTCCCCCTCAGCTGCCGTGTACACACGGCGCAGACGGTACCCATTTGAGGCTAAGTCGACATAGGAGAGGACCCAGGACCGATGCAATCGATGTGTTCGCTACTGATGTAATAATGATAATGGTTATGACCAGGAATACAACTCGGGTCGCTGCTACACTGCCACTCCACACGCAAAGACAAAGAGCCCCCGCATCGCATGAACAAGACTGATGGGGCAAGTGCTGTTAACGAATACAGTTCAATGCCGGTACGGCAAGGAAGGGTGGCCAGCACCCACGCCTCGCCGCCTTTGTCTCTCTAGCAGCGATTTTTTTTTACGTCGTAATCACGGTCTCATTTGAGGCTGAGCCGACCTAGGGGACGGCCAGAATCCACAAAGGTGTACACACACAGTCCATACGCACCACCGTGTATCCATGTGTAAGTACAGAAATCAAGGCCCATGCAGTCAGTGCTGGTTATTTAAATACACAGGGCGTGTGTGTTGTGTAATAGCTAATGCCACACACAACAAAGACAAAGATCCCCCGTATAGCCTTACCAGACTGTTTAGGCAAGTGCTGTTAGCGAGGAGCACCTATGAAGGCCGGCACGGCGCAGGAGGGGATGGGTGGGCAGCACCACGCCCGGCCGCCTTTGTCTCCCTAGCGGCGATGTTCGCACACCGCACCAGACACACAAACTCACTGGCCGCACACACGCGCGGTCACCCGGCTCGCGTCGCGAGAGGCGGTCGCGCGCTCTCTCCTCCGCGAACGCGGCGTCGCGAACGGAGCGCGACGCGGGGTGGGAGCGTGGGGCGAGGCTGGGAGCGTGGCCGTGGGGGAGGTCGCAGCATCACCTTGGCGTCTCTTCTGCTCCAGCTCCCTCCCCTCCCGGAGCAGCACAGGAGAACGAGAAAACAAGAGCAGAAGATAACGGACGGGGCGCTTACAACGATGGGTGGGATGGGTGGGTGAGTGTGCGCGTGAGCAAGCGACTGGCTGGACAAATGAATGAATAAATGACTGGTTCGTGAACGAATCGCAGAGTGAGTCGGGTGGTAGGCAGACAGGGCCGGGATGCAGGCCGTCAGTGCGATGTCGAATGCGCCACCAATCTGGCGGCGTCTCTCTGATTCAGAGGTCCGTCTCCGGCCATCGTGTGACGTGGCCCCATTGCGGAGGGAGGAGATCTTTTGTTCAGTCCCTTTGTTATGATTGTCATTGTTATGGTAATTAGGCTCGGAGCATTGAGCCCCTGATCCGGGGGGGCTTAAGGGGAGGGGGGTGGGGGGGGTATGACACCGGGTGAAGCTGACAAACCCAGAGAGGGAAACTCGGGAGGTTATTTGACCATACTTCACCACGCTGGTCACGTAACCCCACAGCAGCCTGTATCAACCTGCTTGTGCAGGTTGATACAGGCTGCCACACAGTAATCGCTGGCGCTCATAGAGATAGTTTATAGGCAACAAGGACTGGTTTCGACATTCAGTGTCTCATCAGCGGAGGCAAGGTTGCTTGAACCAATTTTTATGGTGAACTGCCAGATAGTTAAACAGCCAAGGAGCGTTTGCCTCTGGTCTAACACTGGTGAGACAAGGCCACAAAGGAGTCTGTTGTATAGCTCTTGTCTACACCAATCAATGTCAAGTACCAAGGATACATTGCCAAGGCGTGTCTCAGTGCATTGTCCTTGTCCTGTTCATCTTTTGGCATTGTTCATATCTGGTGTAGGCAAATTACAGTAATATTATACGTTTTCATATTTTACCACAATTCTTTGTGGTTCATGCATATGCCTTGAAATAAATGTATATTCGGTGTTTGATCTTCACAGCTACTGTATTCTTGGCGGAAAGGGTAAACCCTATTGTTACTGCCAAAATACTGGCGAAAAGGGTCCCATCGATATCGCTAAAATATATATATTTGGCTAATAACACATAGCGAGCAATGAGCGTACACTGAAATATACACGTACGCTCATGCATAATTAAACAGGGAGCTCTCGCATAACCCTCGCCGTGCGAGCATTGAAATTTGAGGATTCAATCATAGAGATGCACCGTGCATAATCTCACTCCCCACGCCATCGGGGTCACAGTGGTTGTGTGTTCCCTAGGTAGGTTAGCCCATGGGACCTTGCATCTCTCCTGTGACTACCTGTAAGCGAGCACGTGGTGACCTCAAGGTGCACCTAGCCTGGCACAAGCGCCGCAGTGATGTCGCCGAATAAGCTAGTTACGTGGCGAATGGCGAGTTGTTGTTGGTCATACTTCACCACGCTGGTCACTGATGACAGCCGTGGATTCGAACTCGCCTCGCCGGAATCTTAGCGGAGTGCGCTAACCACTGCGCCACCATTCCAACCCCAGGGCGGTGAGTGGGTGGGTGAATGCGTGGGTGGGTGAATGCGTGGGTGGGTGAATGCGTGGGTGGGTGCGTGGGTGAGTGAATACGTGGGTGGGTGGTTGGGCGAGTGGTTGAGTAAGTGGGTCTATGAGTGGTTGAGTGTGCGCAGGTGGGTGGGTGGGTGTTGAGCGAACGATTATTTGAGAAAAAGTCGAATGGTGACTTTGTATCGAATCGCGTGCTTGCTGCGAAAGGGCATTCACAAGAGGACATTTTGGCCTCCGATTCCCACGTTGGCCAGACGTCCCCGAAGAGGTGGAACGTTCCCCACACTTTACCCCACCGCACGAGATTCTTCCCATTCACGAAATGCGGCGGTGACCATTTATACTGCGGGGGGTCGGGGGGGGACGAATGTGGGGGGCACGTGGAGCAAGTGGGGGAGGGGTACAATTTAAGAAACTTGCCCCATCGGATTAACTCCCGCGCCCGGAGATCGATGCGGATAATTCTTGTCCAGTGTTCTAATCACCATTGACCAACCACGTCAGTTATCCTTGTGGGAGTTTGTGTCTGCACTGACTCAACGCGGCCAGTAGGGGGGCAGTGAACCCCCAACAAAATGAACATCAACCCGACAGCTCAAAGACAAAGATCCCCCGTCTAGCCTTAACATAATGTTGGGGCAGGTGCTGTTAGCGAGCACCTATGAAGGCCGATAAGGTACACGAGGGGGGTTGGTGGGCAGCGCCACCCTCCCAGGCATCGAGCCAAACCAACCGAGCCAGGGGTGGTTGACAACACTCAAAACCTCCACCGCTCCACTCACACCCAACAAAATCCCACACGTTCATCAAATGCGTCCCTCCGCTCTTCCAAAGAATTGTAGTTCGAGTATAAATAGTCTAATAGCAAGTAAGAGCATGAGCAGAAGTTGACCATCAATCAACAGAAGAAAAGTTTTCACACTCAAAAATATTCGAGCCTGGCAGGAGTCGAACCTACAATCTTCTGATCCGTAGTCAGACGCGTTATCCATTGCGCCACAGGCCCCTGTCCTAACTCACCAATGTTGGGCCCCATTAGTAGCAGAGAGCCATCGGGACTCAAGCCGCCAGATTTGATCATTTTAAAACAGTCTGCAGCAGACCATACTTTCCCCCACCTGATGATGTACGCTTGTTGTGCGCCCGAAACGTCGTGATTTATTTTCTACCTTGGTGACTTTACCAAAAGAACCAAAGAGTTATAGATTCCTGCACTCACGAAAGCCTCAAATCAAGAATGATCCGGACAGTTTGGGGGGCCACCCGAGTTTGTATCTTGACCCCAGCTTGCGTTGAACACGAACGCGTGAATTCGACGTTCAAGATCACGACCATAACTTGTATTCCTCACCGACTAAAGCACGGTGAGCAAAGAAGCTCTCTGTCAAGGGTGACTCGGCCGGGAGACGACATCAAAGCATTCCACAATTACAGATTTTTTTTTAAATACAAACTTAATAACAACAGCGATTTATGTTGTAACATTACATGCACATTAAAACGCGAGTGATTTTAATCGCCTCCACGCTGAACTCTCTCTTAACAGACACGGAAACACCGCGACACGGAAACAGCAGCCGCCATTCGCCACTCAGCGGCGGTGACTTCGCCACCGGCTCTTGTTGTGCCAGGCTAGGTGCACCCCGAGGCCGTCACGTGACGTGTGGCAGGAGGTCACGGGGACAACCCAGGTTGCCCATGAGTCGCCTGGCCGGGATGATCGGCAGAGCCTCGAGCTGTGTCCGCTCCTGCGCCAACTCCCCGCTCGTTGTTGTGAGCGTCGCTCCTCTGCCTCGCGTTCTTGTTGGAGGGCGACTGCCTCCTGCGACTGCCCAGTAGCAGCGGCGTTTACAGTGCTGTACAACACTGTACAACAAACTCGACACGTTCACAGTGCTGTACAACACTGTACAACAAACTCGACACGTTCACAGTGCTGTAGAGTACTGTACAACACTGTACAACTCGACACGTTCAGTGCTGTAGAGTACTGTACAACACTGTACAACAAACTCGACACGTTTACAGTGCTGTACAACACTGTACAACAAACTCGACACGTTTACAGTGCTGTAGAGTACTGTACAACACTGTACAACAAACTCGACACGTTCAGTGCTGTAGAATACTGTACAACACTGTACAACTCGACACGTTCACAGTGTTGTAGAGTACTGTAAAACACTGTACAACAAACTCGACACGTTCGTCAGTCGCACTGTGCGGCTTGAAATGGAAAAGTATGATCGGCGACGTTTCGGGCAAGAACCCTTCAGAGCACACAACAAAGCATTAATCTTAAGGAAAGACTTACAAGAACACAAAATACGACAAAATAAAGCTTCATTCATGTTTGTGCTTCGTTAAGTTTTCTTAATAGCTGCATAATTTATTGAAATAAAAAATATATATTAATAAAAAAATAATTTCGAGCCTGGCAGGAGTCGAACCTACAATCTTCTGATCCGTAGTCAGACGCGTTATCCATTGCGCCACAGGCCCCACGTGACGCACACATCCCCGAGGGGAACTTAAACCCCGGCATGGCCGCCACTCCTACCAGCATCATCGGCTGGGCTCTCATAGCCAGAGCGGTCAGCAACAAACAGTACTATGGTCACGGTCGTAGCGAGATGACGGAGTAAACAGTGTTTATTGAATTGAGCGAGGTTGTTGTTATCCGAGGTGCGCCTGGCACAAGCGTCGTGGTGACGAATGGCGGTTGTTGTTGTTGGGTAAGTGATTGGGTGAGAGTTGGGTGGGTGAGTGAATAGGTGAGTATTGGGTGGGTGAGTTAATGGGTGAGAGTTGGATGGGTGAGTGAATCGGTGAGTGTTGTGTGGCTGAGTGATTGGGTGAGAGTTGGGTGGGTGAGTGAATAGGTGAGAGTTGGATGGGTGAGTGAATCGGTGAGTGTTGTGTGGCTGAGTGATTGGGTGAGAGTTGGGTGGGTGAGTGAATAGGTGAGAGTTGGGTGGGTGAGTGAATGGGTGAGTGTTGTGTGGCTGAGTAATTGGGTGAGTATTGGGTGGGTTAGTGAATGGGTGAGAGTTGGGTGGGTGAGTGATTGGGTGAGTGTTGGGTGGGTGAGTGAATGGGTGAGAGTTGGGTGGGTAAGTGAATGGGTGAGAGTTGGGTGGGTGAGTGAATGGGTGAGAGTTGGGTGGGTGAGTGATTGGGTGAGTGTTGGGTAGGTGAGTGATTGGGTGAGTGTTGGGTGGGTGAGTGAATGGGTGAGTGTTGTGTGGCTGAGTGATTGGGTGAGAGTTGGGTGGGTGAGTGAATGGGTGAGTGTTGGGTGGGTGAGTGATTGGGTGAGTGTTGGGTGGGTGAGTGAATGGGTGAGTGTTGTGTGGCTGAGTGATTGGGTGAGAGTTGGGTGGGTGAGTGAATGGGTGAGTGTTGGGTGGGTGAGTGATTGGGTGAGTGTTGGGTAGGTGAGTGAATGGGTGAGAGTTGGGTGAGTGAGTGATTTGGTGAGAGTTGGGTGGGTGAGTGAATGGGTGAGAGTTGGATGGGTGAGTGAATGGGTGAGTGTTATGTGGCTGAGTGAATGGGTGAGTGATTGGGTGAGATTTGAGTAGGTGAGTGAAATGGGTGAGTAACTGTTCACCAAGGTCCCAGTACCTGATACCATAACAATAATTGAAGATTTGATCCAACATGGACTGGACCCTGATGTACCTGCGCTGGTTAGGCACTGCCTCACCAACACCTACTTTACTTGGAATGGCACCTTCTACAAACAAAATAAGGGTACCCCTATGCGTTCCCCCTTGTTACCAGTGATAGCCAATGTTTTCATGGATAAATTTGAATCAGACGCCATTCAGACATCCATCCTTAGTCCTTCCCTGTGGAAGAGATATGTGGATGACACTTTCGTCATTTGGCCACATGGCCTCCCAGCTTTGAACCATTTCTTAGGCCACATCAATTCCAGACACCCATCCATCAAATTCACCATGGAAGTGGAGAAAAATGGCAAGCTGACATTCTTGGATGTTCTGTTTGAGAGGAGGACTGATGGCTCTTTGGGACATTCTGTTTACAGGAAGTCCACCCACACAGATTCCTACTTGAAGCCTGATTCCCACCACCACCCGGCTCAAAATAATTATCTCATCAAAACATTATACCATAGAGCTCATTGCATTTCTGACCAACACCACCTGACCAGTGAATTAAAACATGTACATCTAGCCCTCAAGATGAACGGTTACTCTGACCGTACCATCCGCCAAGCTGTCTCTCCCTCCATACAGAAACAACCACTTGACACTCCGATCAAAATCATCACACTGCCATACATAGCAGGCGTTACCAAAAATATTTCCAAAATTCTAAACAAACAAGATCCAGGTTCGATTAAATACAGTACACAAAATCCGTGATCTGATCCCATCCATAAAGGATGTCATCCCTGACTTACAGTACCCCGGTGTTTACAATTTGAGTTGTATCTGCGGTGACTGCTATATCGGGGAGACAAAACGACATATTTCTGACCGAATTCGTGAGCACAAATCAGATTTGAAACACGGCAGAACGAATTCGTCGGCCGTAGCTGATCATTGTCTCAACACAGCGGGTTCTCATGACATTGTTTTCTCCGATACCAAAGTACTATGCAAACCTCCCGGTTATTATCAAAGATTTGTCCATGTAGCCATCCGGATATACAAACATAGACACAACTTCAACCGAGAGGATGGTTTTAAATTAAGAAACCACTGGAAAGATGTCATAAACCACGTCAAAACTTTAGCTACCTTATAAGCGCACAGCATATTCTTTCCGAACTTTTCCTTTTTTTGTTTCCATTTTTCTATTGCCCCTGTGCAGTGGCCCACCTCATCCCCCGCACCCTCAACATAACAAAAGACGGATTAACTTAGCCCCGCCCCCCATCAATGTCCCCTACTTGACTCCTCCCCCCCACCTTAACCTTAGCCCCGCCCCCATCAATGTCCCCTACTTGACTCCTCCCCCCCAC